CGTGCGCGCGGGATAAAGATTAATGGCGAGAGGAATTAATGCGCGTGCGCGTGCACACGCGACGCCAAGTTTTGTGCGTCGTGAGTTAACGACATCGTAAATAATAACATCAACAACGACGTCCCGATAATGCGAGTGCAATCGACCGTCGTACGGCGCGCGAGGAGAGTTTCGCCGCTTCCCTTTACTTTTCTTTATTTTTCGTCTGTTTCTCGTTGTATATCTCGCTGTGTATCTTGTCTCTTATTCGGCTCTCGTGACGACTCTCACTATTAGTCGCTCGCTCGCTCGCTTGCTCACGGTAACAACGCTCTTCATATTGTCCTTCGTGTTGCATGAATGAAATTGCATTCATTATGTCAATTGCTCCCGTCATTCGATGAAGAGCTTCCCGTCCCGAGAGGCCACTCTTCTTTTCTCGATTTCTCACGAAACACAGACGTCGCGTACGTCTGTGTTTAAAATTCTTTTGTAATATGACATACGTACACAAGAGAGTTCGTAAAATATTCTTCCTTTCTTTTTTCGATTAGAATTTTGATTTTTTTCAGGAAATCGAATAAACTCAAAAAATTGTCCCTTAGACTTTCTATGTATTATAAATTCACCCTGTGTTGTTGACTGCAACAATATATGAAATTTCATCAAGACCGACACAAGATATTTTTGCAAATTTTATTTGACAGAACACATCCAATTTGGTGGATTACCGGGCGCTCTAAATTCAATATTCAATGACAAGCTCGGATGATTGATGTCTGACGCCAAAGTGATCCGAGAGACGTTTTTTTTTTTTGTCGGGATAGATCGAACACAATTCTCCGACGCAAAATTCCACCTTCGCGAATGCACGTTTGTTTTTTTTAGAAACAAAGTGAAGTAGCCGCGTTCCGGGGAGCATCTCCCAGACAGATTGCGGTGACGACCGATTGGGACTTGGATGATCCGCTAAAAACAGCTCTCGTCTACCTTATGTAAAGAGCCACTCTCACCCTTCCATATCGCGTCCGTCTCGATTACTTTGAAGTCATATCGGAATCTCCTCCCGACTTGGTTGGCTTGGACGATCGATTGGCTTTTGATGACTCAGAATTCTTGCCAAGACGCTTCTCATAAATTCACTGACAAACAGGTACTCAACGTAACCGCGCTCTTTTGATTCGGATTCGACTTAATACATCAGAAAGATATAGAAAAAATCATGTTGTGCAACAAATATTCAAATCACTATAATAACATCTGCGCGCTGAGAACACAGTTTTTATTAATATGATTAAGAGAAAAAGAAACTATTTTAAAATCATAAAAGAGAATTATCTGTAACGATTGGATTTTGTTCATTTATTTATTTATTTTTATTTTTTCTAAACGTGGTCGCTGCGTTGCAACGACAAGCATAGCAAATGAAGAAAATAGGGCTGCTATTTCCGTGAGTCGGTACATCGGGACTGCCTTAGGGATACGTCACACAGACGAGATCGAAGATTGCGGGGAGGTAGAGGGAAGCGTGTCTTTCCTGGACAATCAGGAACGCGCGGAACGAGACGGAGAGATAAGCACGCGACGGCAGGAAAAAGAAGAGGGGTCTTGTGTCGCGGAAATACTCAGACGATTCCTTTAATAATACGCCGGAAAGACGTGGCGCGCGCGCACTCGGTGTCTTTTTCCTCGTTATTTCTTGCCTCAATCTACTTTGTTTAGGTGGATTCTGTTTACAATCTTGTTGCAGCCACTCTCTCTTTCTGTCTTTCTCTCTTGAAAGTATAAATGTCTGCTAACGTTACCGGCCTTAATGGCCTTGGAATTCTCGTCTTTCCACAAACACGTTCTCTCTCTCTCTCTCTCTCTCTCTCTCTCTCTCTCTCTCTCTCTCTCTCTCTCTCTCTCTCTCTCTCTACAAGTTTTAATATTATTATTACTCGCCTCGTATTTCTCTACAAGGCGCTAACCGCGAGATCAGATACTGTTTCATTGTTCCTTGTCGTTATTATTATTATATGCGTCGACAGAGTGTAATTAGTATCGCAAAGATCACGCCGATAGCCCGGGCCGTGATAATCGAATAGCGGGCTGCAAATTACTTTCCACGTCCGGAAGCAAACCTCGGTAATCGAATAACATCCTTACGTCGGACCGTAATTCAATTGCTTTCGGGATAAACGGGTGTAACGGATGGGGACTTGGAAAGAAAAAGAAAAGCGACACGAAAGGCGAAGTGAAAGCAATTCTAATGGATAATAAAGTAACTCGGAGAGATTGTTGGGGGATATCATAATTAGGAAAAGCTCGTTCACGTCAATTATCGTTGTCTTTAATCATCTGCCAACAAATTAAAAGCGAAGGGAGCTTGAACAATGCAACACGGAAGAGACGTCTAAAAGGACTTTGTCCGAGGGATACTTGCCGGATGGCTACAATTTTCGAGAATGTCTGAAAAAGAACATGTCTCTCTACAAGCTTTGTACAACCCTCACTGTGCGCGCTGTTCTCCGGCGAATAAATTTCGCATGCGAACCGAGCGACGTGTCTCGGTCGTCGTTCATTCAAACGAGCCGTTCAGCGCGACCACCCCCCGTGTCGGCACGTAACGGCGGATCCCATGACGGGGGGTTGCATTCGGGGAGGACCTTGGCGAACTAACGGAGGTCGGTCGGCAAGCCTTCCTCCACCACGCCTTTTCCGCGTATTTGTAACCGCGTCTAGCAGTTTCCTTAAACAAACCGTAAGTTCGCGCGCGCGAACTCAAACTTCAGCGAGTATCGTTTCCGACTGAGCAACAGCAGTAATGAGGCAACGTCAACTTTCGCGAATGTTGATCATATGTGCATAGATATGAGAAACATCAAATAAACTATCCAAGAGAAGAGTTACATGCAAATATAAAATTTATATACAGGAGGATAATACATTTTTATGATTTTTGTCGTTGGCGTTTTTTGCAATAAATTATGCTATTTATATTTGTTGCAATTTACTTACAGTAAATATTGTACATTTAATTTAGCGAAAAATTAAATTCAACACAAAATATTATGTACAAAACTATATAACTATATTGTATATTTTTCATATAAATATGTGCTTTTCTCATTCTTTGGCATTTTAAAAGAATGCACATCTCTTGTCACGCAGAAAAAAAATAATGAGATATGTCCTTGGCGATGCGGAAAACTGTGACGTTTCGTATTCGCTTCGTCGCGTAATGCCGCTTCGGTTATTCCTTGATGATGACAAGAGAAAAAGAAGAAAAAGTGTAATAAAGAGAAAAACTTTCGCACCATGAATGCTACATCTGTAGTCTCCTGATGGGTATCGAATGGAAAGGCGAACGCATAAGCAAGTTGTTCGAGCAGCCGTTCGAACGAATCGACTGCTTTTTGCGCGCGAAGACGCAGAAGACCGCGCCATTTGTCAAGTTTCGATATTAGATAAGTTCTCTCCATTCAGACTGATGTTTTTTTTTTTTAAATACAACAAATTTATAGAGCTATTAAAAAAAAATGAAACACACAAAAGTCAAATAAATTTTGCAAAGTTACACTGAAATTGTAAGAGCTATCTTTTTCTAGTCAATTGTACGGGAATATCAAAAAGGAGAACTTTTTTATGAAACCAGAAATATTAAAATATCAGTAAAATACGCAGCGTTTAAATAAGTACGTAAAAAAGACGATAGCACGAAATGATGAATTAAATCCGGAATATCTGCAGCTCAATTAAAATGAAGCTGTAATCAGAATTACACCAAAAAAAAAAAAAAGAAAACAGTCGACGAGAAAGAGCTTTCCTTATTGTAACATCCTTATAATAAGAAGGCATACTTGTCGTTCTCCTCGAGAAACGAGGACTCTCAGAAACTGCTTGAAGCTACGCAAAGTAAATTAAATTATGCTCTTATCGTCGTTCGCATCCTTAAAGAAATCGCATTGGGATGCTTTTTTACATTCATCAAATTGTCATAAACATTTGTATATTTCTGTACGTCTTTGTAGGAGATACATTGCGTCCACGTTGTCAATTTATAATTGTTGTTGTAACTGCGCGAGTTTGAACGTAGTCGAGTTTCAAACTCGTTTTTCTGAATGTATAGCTTTTGTGAAATAAAAAAGACCGGTATAATTATAAAAATCTCGCAAAAGACCACCGCGATTTGCGGATCGTCGTGTACAAAGAGAGAAAGAGAGGAAGAGATTGTGCCGGCATCCCCTTCATCGAACACCGCCCTGTGCGTTACCGTAATTATACCGGGGATCCCCTTTTGTGGTGGCCGCACAGCGACGTCAACCTTGGCTTTTCAAGACAATGAACCGTGTCTCCGACCAGAAACAGGGAACATTCTTGGGCGTTGTAGTCTCTTCGACTCACACCGCACACAGCTTGCCAACTTTTCAATTTCGAAATTGGACGACCGCTTCAAAGTTGCAGTAGGCTCGATCTTTCCGATAGAAGGAGATGTCGGCCCTAGCTTTTCCTAAGTACGTGGACTAAATTGCAAACGTATTATCGCACGTTCGCTCCGTCGCGCACTTCCGCTCAAACGGAGCGTTCGGTCCGAAGGATGCACTCAGCGCCGTGAGACGCCGCACGTGAGAAAAATCCGAAGAATGGAAATGAAAAATATTTTAAACGCGTAAACAAGAGAGATTTGTGTAATTGATTTTATCAAAATTAAAAGAATGTTTGTGCAAATTTAAAGTTAAAAATATACAGAGGAGACCAAAATATTCGATATTTAATTGTATATATGTATTCATTAAAATTTTGAAAAAAAAACTACGTTTTGCTTGAATACATACTACAACTTTTATTTTTTGTTTTCAAATTTGCCAGAATTACAAATATGAATATTTGTAATTCTATTGCAGTGATATTTTAATGAAAAAAACATTATATACATGTATGTACGATATATACATATATTATACATAGAATATCAGTATTCGCATGCGAATTTTCGATTCAGCTGCTACACGCACGCCTTTCTGATCTGTTTGTTTCAGTACAGCGATCGATTCACACCCGTTCTCCTGATAGTCTCGCTCGCGGGGATTAAAGTATGCAGTCCAGATGGAAAAGTGAGTACTAGAAGATGCACATATAGTTTACTCCCGCGGAAAAAGGACGTCTCGGCGTTTGTATGCGGCTCGTTGTTAGAAAACCAGCTTGGTGCCGCCTACGGCGTGCTCTTCCAAGACGGAGCTTTATCCCCCGAAGCTCTGTGCGGAAAACTTTGCCTCTTTCTTTTTTTTTTTTTTTTTTCACTAGGCACGACCGCATCCTATTGCGTCGCGTTATCTCTCGAGGCACCAGACTGAAAACGGATTTTTAAGCTCGGTTTATTGTCTTTATTGTCTTTGTGAATTTCAAATAATTTTTTTTTTTTAATGACTTGGAGAATTTTTTAAAACCGACAACAACAATACCCGTTGCCGAGATAATTTCACAATTGGGAGGATGAAAGGAAAATTGCTCGTGCATGTGCTTGCGCCGCGTGTCACAACGGTTTGGAAACATAAGAAAGACCCCCCGAAGGAGGGTCCCTCGTTAAAGGACTTGAAAGAGCGAGCGAGGAAAAGGTAACGCATAGGGAGAGAAGCGGGCTTATATGTACGGAACGACGGAACGGAAGTTGAACCGCAATGCGAGAAGCCTAATTTTCCGCGTTCTTGAGCGCCGAGTTTAATAATCCTCATGATACTTTGTAAGACCTCCCTTTCAGTAAGCTCCGACCTTGGGGCGCCAATCTTTTAATGCTAGAGTCAGCGAACTCGTATGTCCTTTCGAGTGAATCACCCTCTCTCTCTCTTTTTAAAATTTTCATACGGACTTGTGCAAACCGATCGGGAAAGGTAATTAAATAATTAAATTGGAACAGACGAGGCACGTGGCTGAATCATTCGTTTTAATCAATTTTAATCCGCGTGGCGTATGAGATATATAAGAAATAGAGTCGGACTATTATAAAGCGCAATTTTATCGGCGACTCGCCGTATAATCCGAGGATTAACTTGAAAACATCTGGAATTCTTCTCGGGAAAGTCCAACTTCAACGATGTAAAACGTCGCGTCGCGAGAGCGGCGCGGAACGAGAGTAATTTCGCCGCCGCTCGTCTTTTATTATTTTCCGTACTTTAATTGGGGGGCCTCGTAATCCTTATCGCATCCCTGCCAGTAATATTTCGAAGTTGGCTCGACCGTGCACCAGCCAGTTCTCCCCAGTGTGCCTCTCCGACCCGTGTTCACCAACTGCACAGAACATATCGATCCTTCGAATTAGTGTTTTATTTCGAGAGCTGCTCCTAAGCTCTCGCTTTAATTTTCTACCTGAAAAAATCCTTACCTTCTACGCCCGATCTTCGGTAAGCGCCTCTTGAAAAACCTCTCACGGAACGGTGGCAGATGAGAAACAGAACGTTCGTCTCATTATGCAGTGAATTTCCGGCTTTTGCTGTCATTACGGTTGAAATATTTTTTTTCTTTTTTCTTTTTCACAAATTTTCACTTGTACAATTTATCTCAAATCGTCATCTTATTGGATTATTAATCGCGAAAAGCCGAAAACACGATCGAGCAATAAATCACGAGATCGTATATTGGAAAGATACAAATGTGTCACGCAGATCGTCAGATGCGATTTCAAATACGTAACGACGTTCGCGCGCCTCACATAAATTTCGTCGTAACACGTGGATAATAATGATGAAACGACATTTGTATGCCTTCGAAATGGCTTTCACATTTGGCGGACGAATTATTACCGACTTTGTAACATATGAGAAAACTTGGCCGCGGTCATGCCGAAATGCACGTGACTGAGCGAGATGATTAAGAATAGAAATCAGGAGTTTCAATTAAGGCACGACGTCGAATAGTTCGTGTAAAGATAAGTCGCGTTAAAACTTTGTTTCTGGGAAATATAATGCTGATTTTCATAAATATTGTTAAGAAAGATAAGTTTTATCTAAACTGTTTTAAATTCGCTTCTGAATCTCTCTCTGCTGTGTTATTTTCGGTGTAATTAATTTAACGTAGTTAAATGACAGATGTCTGTTATTGTCAACGGTGTTTTCTATTATTTTCCGTCATGTGCGCGTATCTCTTTACGCTCGAGCTCTCGTTGCGCAAACTCGCGATTATCCTAAACCGCTCATGCACTACTGCTAAAAGTTCGTTGACGGACGCGCGATCGTGCGTATGATTCGCTGAAAAAAAAAAGAAAAAAAAAAGCAACCAACCAAGAGAGAGAAAATCCTATATAGGTCTTCCTTTGACGGAACACCGTGGCGAAGAGACGTTACACATCTCGCTGATCATTGAATTACAAACAAGGTACGAGATGTCAATGAGATTCAGCATAGTTGCCGAATAAACACACAATGACAACCGGCGCGCATCTTGGCGAGCGCAAGAGAAAGAGAGCGAACGCCACTCTTTAGCGCGCGAGGGGTGTGTTTACCCTCCATTCCGTGGATTTACTCGTGCATACATGGAACAGCACTCCGCGATGATACGCATTTCTCCCGCATATCGCACCCACTCATACATACATACACTTATATACACACATACTGACTGGCCGCGCGTTCACGGTGCGTTCTCCGCCAGCAAGAAATTTCGACTGATGGTTCTGTAACTCGAACGATCCTCAGTTCCTTTAGCCCCATTAAACCCTTTGCCTCGCCGAGCGTTACGCAATTTCTATGATCCCCTCAAACGTACTCGCTGCGCGCGCGCGCGCGACACGCTGCACGCTTTCGTGATTTCGCGACGTTCCGGCAGCTTTGAACATTCCAATCGCGCACGGAAAAAAAAAAACAAGCTTTGCTTGAAATAGCAAGGAGATTAACTACTATACGCGGAGAAAGAACTTGCTGGGACTACTACTGAATTTTTTGGTCTCACTAACAAAACGCTTTGTCGGTGTAATAAAAAATTCAACGGACCCGGCAAGTTCTTTTCTTCGCTGTAACAAAACCTTTCCGCGCGCGCGCGCGCGCGCTTTGTACATCAGGGCGAGCTGCCTGTTTTTCTCCGCGCCTTCGCGTTGTAAACGTTGTCTCGCTCAGATTGCACGACGCAAGTTTTAATACAAAACTGGTTTCGATGAAACAGGTAGTTTTATTTTAGTTGAACGGTATCGGTTGTTATCGAACAATTTTTGCGCGTGAGTGTTTTTCAAGAGTGCAAGAGCTTTCAAGTAAATTCGTTTTACACACGATATTACACATATTTGTCTCTCGACGTAAACTTCTGCTCCTCGTCCCGTTCGCTTCGACGTTGTGCTGTTGTTGTTATAATACTAACGTAAACTAGAGAATATCGAATCGGTTGCGGAAACACACGCGTGTGGCTATGGAAGATCAACGACGCGCTATGCGTGTAATTTTTGTAGTCGCGATGCGATCGCGGAATATGTTTATCCTTTACCCGCGGATTTTCTCGTGCAATACACGAAACAGCACTCACGCTGCAGAGCGCGTATCTCTTTTGCATGTTTGCATCCCCCCCGCTCTCTCGCCATCAACGATCGCGTATTCAGAGAATACCTTTCCCTTCGATATTCGTCATAAAACCGACAACGCATCGCTCGCTACTATTTGGTTGGGAGCAAATATTCCGTTTGATCGCGGCAAAATGACCGATAAAGAGAGACACGATTGTGTATAAAAAAAAATCAAAATCCATCTTTAACATCGCGCGTTTACTTAAACGATCTTAAATTTTCTATCGAGAAGAGACGCGAAGAGGGGTCGAAGAGTGAGAACACACCCGCGCGAACTGCGGGTCATAAAATTTTTTACTGCAACCGAAGACTTTAACTCAATCCGGGTTTTAAAATTTTTACTGCCGCCTGAACTCTTCTCAAAATCGAGCTGTTTAAACATTAAAGAGTTTCCCATCTGGTGGTACAGATACACGACTTGAAAAATACATTTAACGCCGTCTGTGCTCTCTGTTATTATTTACAAGTGTGTGCATGTGAAGTCTTCGGCGCGCAGGTGAATGTTCTTACAATTTGACACGTGTTCCTCGTCACTTATACATGACGAAGTTGTAATTTCAACAAAACTCGTTTGCTCGTGCAAAGTAACAAAGAACCAATTTTCGTACAATTTTACTATCGCCGCGGATAGGGAGACAGAAAATTTCTCGACGCGCTTTCATATTGTTCACGAACAAATCTTAGCTTACAACGGATAATTCTCTCCATGCGACAAGATACTTTTACGCTCGCAATCGGATTTCGCGACTCGCTGAAAATCTCCGATTCCAAGTATACTCGAAGCGGGACAATAGATCGCAGGGTGCAGCAGGCTCAAATAACCCGACGAGTGCGAACGCTTCAGAGCGACGACGTATCCTGTTGCAAAGACGCGCAAAGACGGGTGAAAACGAAGCAAGAGGGAAGAAACAGAAAGAAAGACGACGACGACGACGACGACGACATTGGGAATAACGACGTTTATCCTCTTCGCGGAATATGACAAACTTGATGAAATTCTCCTGAGAATGTCGTTTGCTGCTCCAAGAGCGATTGGTATCGCGCATACTAGCCGCAAAATAGTTGGTCCACTTCCGCATTGTACAGGGCGACTCTCTCTCGTCCGTAACAACTTCGCTACGCAACTATGCCTCGAGTGGACCTCGGTACTCAGTTAAAGTAACTTCACGTAACGCACTACAATTGAATTTTTAACGAATCGAGTTTTACCTTTCCCAAACTTAAGTCTCGACTAAGTAACTGCGCGCGGTTTGTGTACTTGAACAATAGTACAACATATAATAACGTAACATGTAATAATATAACATGTATTAATGGTATAACATATAGTACAATGTCATACAACAATCATTGAATCGCGCCCGATAAATTGATTAGCTGATGAAGATCAAGCGTGTGTAAACGCAGCATTTCAGATTTTTGTTATAGTACTACTAGATAGTACTGCCAGATTGTAATAATTTTCAACATATTGTAAAAATCTCTCTACAATGTTATTTTTTATGACAAAAAATAGTTATTCTCCATAAATCCTTCGCATAAAAATAATCTCATTATCTCAACAATAGTTGTCCTCCACATGATAATAGTCTCGCAGACGCGATTGTTATGTGATGAAAAAAAACAAGGGAGTAAAATAATGTTAAAAATTTTCCTGCGATTTTAATATATTCCAACAATAGGATGGCAGGTTTAAGCCGTGTGTCCATCCGGAGAGGCGCAAGTAGCCCTTTTATCACGCCGGGTCATTTATATCTTTCTCACGTAGAACTTTTCTGCTTCGGTAAATGCAGACATGAAAAATTCAGCGCGAAGCTTGATAGAATCGCGGAATATCCTCGCCGACAAAATTTGCTCCCACGGACGATCATCTTTTCAATCATCATTCAACTCGCTCGCATGCTCTGTCATATTACTTTTTTCGCGAGAAACGAATTTAAGCGAGTATCATCTCGAAAGCCATGAGAACGAAATCGTGTTTTTCTTTGAGATTGGAGATTTGCGCGCATTAACATCGTAAGCTTGAAAATGTTGCTTTTTAAAAAATAAGAAACTTTACATAAGAATAAAGAATTTTTCAAACACACTTTTAAAAGAAACTTTATTTTTTTTGTGACAGGTATTATCATATTTATTACTCTCGATTGTCTTTCTTACGTTATCAATAATCGAACCGGAGCAAGAAGAGCTTGCCCGTACTAGTCATTTAAATCGTAATCAGTTAAAGAAAACATCACAACGTTTGCATTTGTTACTATTATGCATTTATAAGCGCGATGGCGCCGTGAAACAATGCGCATATAAATATTAATAGAACGTGCGAGCGAAGAACAGTAAACATGCCCGATGTAATTTCACGAGACTGAGTAATAAAATATTGAGGGCAAACAAAGTGTCGCTTCTCGTAGATATAAAACTCTCGGCTGAAATATTGGTAAAAATCTCTTGAAAATCTCTCTTGGAGACGGGAGAGAACGGAAAGATTTCGCTTCTTTTGAGCGCGCGTTTTATTTGTTCTCGCTACCGAATTTATAGGCAGTATTAAAAATTTACGTTCCGAAATGAGAGCAACGTCTCTCGAAGTCGGCTACTTTTTGCGGTGACGATAATATATGATGTTTTATATACGCGAAACTTTTAATTTTTCCATCGTGGAAAATTTATGTGTATCTTTATATTAAAAAAAAAAAAAGAACAAAAAAAGTTATATTAAACTCTATCGCACAAAACTCTATAACCAAAAAGAAGTAAAACGTGAAATATAAAAGTTCTTTTCTAAATTTAGTGTTTCTCTGAAATTATAATTGCAGTTGGAACAGAGAGCACATTCGCCAAGTTATATTACGATTTCCCGAGTGAAGCCTGTTGCGTCGGTAAATCATTAAAAGTTTCCGAACGAAACTTCACAGCCAAAGATGTCACAAGTTTTTCGAGCAGCCAATAATTGGTTATTTATTTGTTCCTTTTGGCATTGATCGAATCATCGTTCCAGCGAACGCAACAGTATCACGAGACTCTCGAATTGATGTGTCTCGTGTGATTATAATGACTGCAACGCTTTTCGATTTATGACTTTTCGAAAATTGAATAAATATTGTACACATCAAATACACTCTCACTGTAATCTGTCAAATTCAAGTTGACACACGGTCATATATTTTCAACGGGACAAAATGAAGCGACCAATTAGCGATCAATCAGGTGAAGGAAGTATTAAATTTCGTGTGTGTTTTATTTTATATTATCACGTTACAGTGGCAGCATCCGCGCTTAATGGATGTAATTTTAAGCCAAATAATTCTCGCACTGATATTACAACCTTCATTCGTACCATTTAATTATCCCGTCCTACAACCCTTAATTTCGGCTCACGTTGATATTTGATGTTGCTAACGAGACGTGATACACGCAAGTGATATTTATGGTGATACACTCTGTTTAATGAGAGGATGCTAGTTTTCTTGCACAGAAGTCTTGACACAGATCGTACTTGCAACACATTCGCGGTGGAATTGATTCAAGTGATTAAATCGCTCGGCAGGATGAGAGCAATAATAAAATACTCGTAAATCATATTTGTTCGCGTGCGTACAGCAAGAGCTCGTGTTTGAAAATGTATGTACGTCGGAAATTGTCAGTTACAGTTATTGAAATTAATCTTTCGTTCTCCCGTTGCGCGAAATTACAAACTCCAAGCACCAAATATTGCAATCTAACACCAAAATAGAGAATAAGTATAATATATATATAACGTTGCGAATTAAGTGAAGATGTTTCTTGCAAAGTCAGTATTTTCCTACAATGTAACAGTTAATAGTAGATTGTTCTCTTATCGAGATACGTCTAGAGAAATTCTTGAAAAAAAAAAAAAGATTTTTACTTTTTTTGTTGCAGTGCGTGCAAATGGCGCACGCGTTAAGACGCATCTCTTACGCGACTTGTGAGCCGCAGCACGCCCAATTCAGCTTTCTAGCGCGGGAGCCCAGGGCCCACTTCAGTTTACAGTATTGTCACTCCTTCATCACCGAGTCTGCAGACCAGGTAAGTAAAAAAAAGCGACTTTGAGATTTCTTTATTTCGCGTCTTGTAACGCGAAATGCGATTCCGGCGGAGATTGCGATATCCGAAGGATGATATCGTCGGGAGATATCGCAATAAAGCGATCCCGTAAACGTAAAATCGATTCTCAGCTCAACGAAGGAAATGAAGCATGCACAGCGAGCGATCAGAATAGATTTCCAGGGATGGCAAAATATACACATATATCAATATTGTGTATGTAAAATACAAATAAAAATATATAAATCTCTTACTTTTTTAATCTTCTCTCACTAACGTTTGAAAAAAGTATTCTAGCTTCTATAAATCGTAAAAGTAAGCCGGGATTAAGTCCAAGACACTGTACGTGACAGCTTGTCCCTCGCCGGTGGACAACCGCGTGTGTCTCAAGTGGAAACTCTGTCTCGACGTTTAAAGCCGATGGATCGTTTCCTTTGCTCTCGACATCTTCTCCGGGTTTAGGTCATGTTAACAAGGAAACACTACAATTACAAGCTTACAAGAGTCTATGTCAACCGCAACTGACAACTGCAGCATTTCACATTTGCCGAGTCTTGGACAAACTCAGACAAACAATGAAATTCGGAAAAATATGCACATTTATAAAAAACCAATTTACGCGCGTTCCTTTATTTTAACAAGATTATTTATGAATTTGCATTGAATCGTGCTGTTGATTTTCTTTCGCTTTAACGTCGTGCCATCTCTACGTCACAAAGCTTTGCTGTCACATGTGAGTACCGCGTCGCGATGCTTCTTTTTTTTTTATCGAGAAAATCGTAACAGTCGGGCGTAAAGTGTACGAGGGCACAAAACGCGTCTCTCTATGTTGCGACGGAAAAACGTTCGTTGTACGCCGATACGCTGACGGCTACCGAGTCCCAGGATCTAAAAGCCTCTTCCTGTTGTCTGGAAGATAACATCGCTCGAGGCTTCGGAGGTCCGTCGGCGATATCAGAAAGGATAGAACCGTAAGTTGGCGAAGCTCCGGGTGGGTTGAGAATAGTAGACTTTGCACTCGGAACTTTGCACTCTCTGCCAATGCCTTGACATTTAGTCAGCCCTAATGGCGCGCACTCTTCGAATTAAACTTTAAATATCCTCCGTCGAGAATTAAGAACGTTATCTTTCTTGAGAAAGCCTCGGATCACGTCTAAGCCTATGCCGATAACGCGGAAGAGAACGGAGAGATAAGACAAGAAAATGAAGGATCCTATAGAGTCCCATGGAGTTGGTTACATATTCAAAGATTTCTGTATATTTATCGAACAGTCGAAATGGGACATTTGCGTTTCCACGCAATTTTCGACCTCAAACGATTTTTGTCAAAAAATATTCGAACTAGAAAGCGCGATCGGATATAAAAATTCGAAATACATTAATCTTTATTAAAATTGCAACACGAATATAAACTCGGTGTGCGCGCGCAACACACACCCATGATATTTTATAAAAACCACCTATAAATATTCTATAAAACTAAATATTCTAAAAACCTGTAAAACTTTTTTTTTCCAAATACAAACGCACCGCGTATTTGTGAACCACTATGGGTATGAAAAATAGAAATGACAGCGGATGTAACGCAGACACAATGAAACCTGTGCGTTATACATTATGCAAACTCGATACTTTAACTGCACCCATTGACATCATGTTTTACCGGATCGCGGTCACGAAAACTTTCCGTTGAAGATTGCACTTCGATAAAAGTGTTCAAAACACTTCATCTCCAAAGCCGAAAATCTCTTTCGAAACTTTGCCGTGCATCTCGCGGTGGAAACAAATGTGATGTTTTTGCGACGATTTAACAATTCCCATTTATTTGTTCGCACCTCGAAGTGCGTCTTGTACCTTGAGTAGATACAAATGTACCTGTAGCGGGTACATACAGGTATCCTGCAAACAGAGCTGCAGGTACATTTGTATTTACTCGTCTGCGAGAAACATAACTCAGGTAAGCAGTCAATAAGACGTTCCGAAACTTATCCGGAGAACGGATCTATAAACAAAAGAGAAATTTACACCTTGATGACTTCACGTCACCGAGAGTTACGGCACGGGGGCCCGCGAAGTCTCGGAGTCCGCGATCGCGCGGCGGCGTCGCGCTGACGGCGGGTCAAAGAACGCGAATCGCAAACTCACGAGCTCCACGCGGCGCTGGACTCTCTCTCGTAGCTGGCGTTCCCGGTCGTGGCAATGTAAAAAGAGCACGAAGCCGTGTAAAAGACCGCGCGCGGGATCGAGCGAGAGAGCGAAAAGCGAGTGGGACGAAGAGAGAGACCGACCGGCGAGCAGAAGGAAAGAGAAGGAGAACACGAGGGACAAGCGACGGACGAGAGGGAGAACGGGGACACGTGGTATTCAACAGCTGCCGTTGAACGTGTTCAATGCCGCAGTTGAAGCAAGAAAGCGGTCGGTCGGTCGGTCGCACCGCTCTCGGCTCCTCGCAGACCTCGCGGTGGGGATGGAAACCGTGTGGGCCGGCCAGAGCGGCGGTGCTCTCGCTTCGTGTTCCTCATGGACTCTCAGTCTCTCTCTATACGTACCGGGAGGTATTGCCATCGTCGGCCCGGTTAAGCACGGAGGTTGGTACCCGGAGACTCGCGGCTCGCTCCCACCGCTCGCTCGGAAAAGAATCGGCGGTGACAGCGGTGGCGGTACCTGGACCGCCAACGTTGGAACGGACAGGAACAAGAGGGACCGGACGGAGCGGCTCGACTCCGGCTCACATCTGGTGGATTCTTCTTCGGCGGTTGACAGCAGAAAGGACACGCGCGAATCGAGTAGTTCGCGCTCTTTGAACCAACTTAAACGAATGGCACGCCGCCTTCGGAGTTTCCGCTTCCGCGACGGCACAGACGCGACTTGCTCGGTCAGCGAAACGGTGAGAGGCTGTGTTATTAGAATGTAAAATATTATACGGTTGTTTTTTGCATAGTTAAGTATCTCGTGGGGAAAAATAAAATTATCAGAGAAGACTTGCCTAAAAAAAAAAAAAAAGGATATTTATAAATTCAAAAGGCATTTACGGTCAAATAAAATTCTTGGTAACGCAACTCCGGAGTAACATTCCTGGAGATACGATCCTGATGTCGATAATCGAGACCGTCCTGCAAGATTCAGGAGAAAATGCGGCGTAGAGGAGAATACAACGACCACGCGCGCAGTTGACAGACGACGAGCAAGAAATGAGAAGCAACTCGTTAACCGGTTTCCGCGGATCGGCATGCAGAGCGACACGTAGCGAGGACTACGCACGCCATCAAGTGGAACTCTCGATCGCTCATGCGTGTCTGCCGCACATTGCCCGGTAGGACTGGTCCCGGATCCATGACATCGCGATCATCACCTGCTAATAATATACTCTTGCGTCGCGGCGAATACGACCGCTGCAAGAAACCGCCGCGAGAGAAGCGCGTTCGCCTGCTGACAGACTTCTCTCGGCGAAACTTTTCGTCATGAATGTACCTACCGTTGACCGGATGTCCCACTGCGTTTCCGTTAGACATTGAAACGTGTCCGAAACGTATTCTGTATCTACACAAAGGGTGGTACGCGTTCTGCTATGAGGTGTAGGCTGGAATTTGATAATTTCAAAAGGCGGCCCCCTGCCTGCAGCAAGCGCCGGTGTCGTCACGGAAATTCTGACGGAGAGAGATTCTTTTCGAGAAAATACTTTGGCGTGCCGACACGTCCGACACCCCGGTGTCCGATACATTAGAAAGTGCGCTGCCATGGTGTAACTCCAGAAATGTATGGAATATCAGATGTTAGAGGTGCGAATATGACGTAAAAAACTCGTGTGAGGCTACGAAGGCCTGTTAATTGCGCGCGTGATGTGTATATAAACGGAGTTTTGTTTGGTTTTATTGAATTCAACTGTAAGGTCACACACACAACATACACAGTATTGTGGTCCAAGTTGTGCTCGTGTGTATATGTGCTCAAACATTATGCGTTCAGGGAGAAAGTATTCTCTTTTGTGAGAGAGTCGGAGATATATCGTGTATATACGGCGCGAAGAGAAGGCGCGATTCAGAAGGACGAGCAAATACAACGGTCGCTGTGGCATGAGGAGGCTCGCACGCAGGCGCAACATCCTGGCCGCATTCTCTGCGATTATGGGACGCCTTGGTAAAGGCTCGCAGAGCGCAACAAGGCCCATTTTCAGGGTGCATTATCGCAAACTCGTGGACGAGTACGCCTCGCAGCAGGAACAGTTGAAATTTATGCCCGCGCTACCTGATTACATGTCGTACTGCTGTTGCCGATGCGGTCACACTCAGAAGTTCAAAGTAAGTCTCGCGAACCGCGAGTTCTCTCAGCCACCTTCTTCTTGTTTTTTTTTTGATTTTTTTTTTACATTATTTCAACTCGTTCGAGACACTTGATTTCTTTCAAACGAGTTACCAGCACGTACAAAGTGAATCATTACTTCCGTATGGAGAATCAGATATCAGGTACCAGTTCGAGGCGATTTGATATTATACGCGTGGAAATAAAACGCGAGGTAAATATCGCGTCTTCGTGTCGCGGCATTGGCTTCAACAACTCGTTCTCGCAACATATTAACGGATCGCGATTAGGTCGGAATACCGCAACATGACCCCGGGAGACGTGGTCGGTGCAGCGATTAAAAAAAAAGGACACGGTCTTCTATTGTTTCATCGGCATGAAATATGATCATTAACACTGGACACCTTTACTTAGTAATTTAAAAAATCACTCGATATTTCTTCAACGCTGAATTCCGCACAGTAATCCATTTGTGCGTTCAACAAATATATGTAGGAATTAAATTTGAATTTTGTTTTTGAAAACACTCGGTCGTCCAACTCTTGATGCTACTTTTAATTGTCGCGTCTGTCAAAGTCTAATTTCTTCGATGCATAAGTTATTCGATCTTGTTTCTTCAGCGCGTTTGAGGAAAATCGGATGAATAGGTCTACGTTTGATAGTCGCATTCCACGATCTGTTAA